TTTGCCCAATCTTGTTGGGTTGTCGAAATTACACCTAATTTATACTTGATTTAATGCTTTGAAAAACACCTATTAGAGGGGCATTCATCCCGTCACCTTTTGTAAATCATATACACGACCAACTATAGAAATAATATAGTTATCTAAAACGATTAGGTGAATAACAATTCAATGTTAAAACCAACACTTTGAAAAAAATTAAATTGCATAACTAGTATATGATACAAACTATCTCGATTTAGAATTTACGGTTTTTACGAAAACAAGTCTATAATACAGTATGACTATAGTATTCTAACAAGGAAAAACACCGCATGGACAACAGAGATTCGTCATTTTAGTCAAATTTTCTCCTCAGTGTCAAAGTAATTTATGTCAAATAGGTATAGATAATTCTCGAGATTTTTTATGACATAATATGTATGATACAAACAGACGGTAAAGTCGGGGGTTGGACGTTTAAACCTTCTAACGACATATTATCATTGAAAACACTTACAACACAAAAAATCATCTTTCTCCCGCAACAACACTATAATAAATTCGTATTTTAATCCAACGAATATATCATCACTTCAATCCGCCTATTCCCGAGTTTGAGCAATTTTGGTTTGGAGGGAGTCGCTAAAAGTGTCCAAATGTACCGAAAAAAAGATTTATATATATATATAACCGATACAATACAGTGCAACTACAGTATCGTATCGTTTCCGAGACGAATTTGACAATGAATAAAATATTTGTTCAGTAAAGTTGTATAACATTTAATTAAACAGACGATTATTAAAATTTTTGTTTAACGTGTTTAACCGTTTGAACAACAAGCGTTTGGAACGCTTTTGTTGTAGCTATTATTATTACGTTCGAGTTATGCTAAAATATTATTACTGCCTACACGTTCCTTCAAACTGTTTACTGCAAGACATTTTCTATATCAAGTCGTTATTATTATTTTGACAACTTTATACAATTTAATACATATTGTAGATCATATTACAATAAGTAACAATATGTCTATTGTCTATACTTTCCTTTGACTTCGCACATCCGCTGAAAGTTAAACTGAAACAACGATTTTTAATATTAAAACAAAATAACGCGTTTAATGCTTTTAATGTAGAGGTGTCATTATTATATTTTGAAAGATAATTTATGCGCATTGTTATTCTTTTGACGAATAAATGTTATTGTTATTACTATTACTTTGTCGAGTTTGTAGAATAACGCGTGCGCTGTTTGTCCTCGATGAGTTACAAATAACAATGTCTTAAAATGCATCGGGTAGATATACCTTTTTACCGTAACGTAAAAATCAAAACCTACCATTGATTTTTAAAAATAACAACACAAAAAGTTACCCAATAAAATTTGTAGCGTAAAAACACTAGTTGTTTTTCACACACCTATAATACAATTATATTATTGTTAACGACTTTATAAGAATACATTTTTTTTTAAGTTTATTAATGTTATACTTACTATGATAAATATAAACTTCAACCGGGTACGATAATTTTACGACAATATTCTACACGGTTATAAATTTGCGATCACTACTCGAATATCCCAAAAAACATATAAGAAACTATATATTTTTTTTTTTAGATTCTGAGCTCAACAAGAAATGTATTTTCATTCATTGATTCTACAATGAAATTTCATTAAAATCCTTTACATTTTCGTTTACAGATATTTCGTTTATTTGGCAAAAAGCATAATGACAAAACGACGACAAAACCTGTAATCACATCAGTATCATAAAATACGAGTACTATATAGAAACTTTATTTTACTAATAGACGTACCTCTTACAATAATAAGTATTACGTTGGTAAAATTATCGTTTAACTGCTACGGAGCAGCTGAATTTACAATATGAAAATTTTAAATTTAGAAGACTAAAAACTGTTTTAAAATTCAATAGTATTATTAGATACGAATCAGTAGTCGAAATTCAAATAATTTGATTAGATCAAAAGTCAATACACTAAAATAATGAAAAAATACTAAAAAATAATAGTAAATAGTGTTGCTGACGTCATAATTCTGATATTTAAAATAGATTTTCAACTTATATGCACGAATAATAATATTATCGGTTCTTAATCTTTTTATATTCGATTACCGCCTAGGAAATGTTGAATATTACAATTTGTTGCCACTCGACAGTTAAGTGTATACGTTTTTTGTACCTATATGTTAACTATTTCTAGTTAATGGATTTTTATTGTATAGTAATTCAAATATGAAAGAACTGCACCGTTTTTTTATTTTTATAACAAACAAGATTTTCTTCGTGTACAACTTATGCGAGCTTGCCAACAAGCTATAATGTATATATAATATTTTGAATAAAATTGTGTGGGCAATAAATTATATATAATAATAACGGTTTTTTTTTACATCCATATCCCCAAGGTAACCTATAAATTCAATTTTTGTTTTAAAAGTACCAAAAATCCTGTGACAGGGTTTAAGGGTTATATTTCGATATGAAAAATAGACAGCGGTCTGTCTCTTGATAATGTAACTAGAACGAACGTAGGAGTAGTAGGAGTCATGAATATATTTTTATTTAATAAAATAATAAAGTAAAAACATAATTATTAAATGGTTAATACATAAATAAATAAATAAATAAATAAGTAAATAAATAAATAAATGAATGCGTGGAGTAGGTTAGAACAATATCTTATATCAATACATTTTAGATAATAATTAATAACCAAATAATTTATATTTTTTAACATATTTACGTCTCATAATAATTATTTTTTAAATAATCTCTCCTATCAAAATAAATTATTTCTATGTAAAACGGTCATTTTATATAACTTTTTCGTTATGTATTCCTTCATTTATTTTTTCATATTCGGTCGCGTTTGACTTTGTGATTTTACCTGACGATGAATTCGAAACCGGTCGCACAATACACATTTCACAATACTTCAGGCAATGCATTTATTTATTTATATATTTATTTTTATTTGTTTTATTTCTTAAACGGGCTAGAAGCTTTATTACATATTGCGTATTATTATTAAAGAATAAATACAATAGCAAACTATTAAATACAAATATGACTAAGTATATAGGTACAAACAAATAAAAATAAAAACAAAATTACATTTGAAAAAGAGGGTTCACATTGTTGTTCGTCAACAGCATTCTAAGACATTCATTGGCTAAATAATTTAGGGTGGCATGAGGAACGTAAAAAAAAAGAACAGTATACCTAGTGATTCGCAAAGGTACATTCAAACAAATTCGTGAAACAAACTTAGTAGAATAAATATTACCGTTTAGCAGTTCTACAATGCATTGAATACCAGCGTCCAGCAATTAGTTTACGCTCAGCCATGGATGAGAGGCCCAGCTTATGAACAACTGTCTTTATATCTATATAACTGAACAATAAAGAGGCGGGCAGGGAAATTTTAATTCATAACTTGTAAAACGCAAAAACTTATTTTGAATTATCTAAACTTGTTTTATGTCACTAGCTGTATGGAGATCTTATATAAAATCACTTTACTCCATAATTAGGCAGACAAACTCACAATATAATATGACAGTGGTGACCAACTATTGCCCGCGATAATTTATTAATCGGCCCATCAAAGTATTAAATCAAAATTTAAAAAAACCTTTAAATTTCAAAAATTAACCATTCACATTAAAAAAAGATATATTTATAGTTTATATTTTTGCTCATTTATAACAATCAATATATAATGAATAATTGAATATATCACTGTACAGTGTACCTATAATAAAATATAATATTCTAATAACTTAAAAGTAAAAGTTTAAATTCTAGGCTGGCCGAGAATTATTATTTATTTACGGCCCTCTGTAAAAAAATGATTGGTCACCACTGCTTCAAGGGACATACTTAGATAATCTTCTTAGAAGGATCTTCCTTCTTGGATGTTGACTTCTTGTGTTATGGATCTTTTAGAAACAAGTTGTTAACAGACAGAATCCATTTAGAATCTAAAATCAGAGGACAAATTGATAGTCTCTTGCTTATTCGACGAAATAACTCCATTAGACACAATCCTGGCCACATTTTTGTTTAAAATCGTAAATAGTGGTGGATGTAACGGTTTTTTTACGCGGGGAAAAATGCTAAATTGGCGCGTTTTTATCAGACGCAGAATACGAAATTCACTATATTTTAATATTTATTCAATTCATAAATACTATTTATTATTTTACTATCTAATTTAATATAATATGTTTAGTTTGCGTATATTATTAAAACTATTAATTTTTCAATATAACCCAAGAAAGTTGTTTTGTGATTTTCAATATAGTTTATTTTTTTTTAAATTGAGCATAACCGAAAAATACATAGAAAGAACGGAGAATGTTCCGACATTTTACGAAAATAATACTTTTATTTTTTTTCAATTTGGTTTTTTTTATTGTAATTCAGGTTTAAATATTCTTAGCGAATTAGAATGTTATTATAAAACTAAGATTTGGGGTGGTGGTGGTAGTGAAGTTTAATGTATAGAATTTCTATCTTGTGTATAAATATACGGGTGACCCTTATTTTTGAACTTGTGCATTTTTGATTTCTTACTCTCAATATTTTAATAACATTAAAATTTGACCAGCATGTTTTAAAAACCACTATAATTGATTTATATATTATAATGGGTAAGAATTTAGAATTTGTAGATGAAGTTCCATCCGTTAATATATTTATGAAGTGTCTTTTAAGTTATGTTTCTACCAGGTTAAGTATTTTCCTATTTAATTTTATGTTTGCATCTTTTAGTTGCCTATTACTGTATATCGAAAAATTTAACTTGTCCGTCTTTCATGTAAATAAAAGCTAAGTAATAACCTGAAGTTATTAGGGTTCTCATATTACCTAATCAAGTAGATGAATGTGTTCGGATAAAATTATTATTGCTCTTGTATTATCATTTAATGAACATATTATTTTATATTATTAATTGGTTTTTTTTTGTAAAAATAAATGTAAATTATGATTTACGTATAATTATTTTTGACAAATTTTGTGTTAAATTATTAAAATATCTTTTTGCTTGCATGTGTTTAAGATTTATGCGATCAATAAATGTTGATGTATAAACTTTGTTGACGTCGTCAATCTTGGTATGAACAGAGGCTTCTTCCATTGTCAACAAAATTGTGTTTGATGGAGACCAGTCTCGATTATTGCACCATCTTACCATTGTTAGTCGTGTCAGGTCCGTGATTTCACTTACAGCCGATTTTGCCATCCATACAACTTTCACTAAGTAATATATATCTTCTTTATTTAAGGAAAACACCAAAATAGACTTTGCAAATAATTTCATTTCCGTAGCTTTAATATCTTTTAGAATTTCAATGTAAGGACCTAAATTTATTTGTTCTATTGCAATACGATACAAATGCTTACAGTCTACACATATAGGTATTTTTGTTAAATCCAAACTCACCACAAACCTATTTAGTGGTTTCATTTTTCTACAGTTATAGCATTTGTAAATAATTACAGGCTTTAATCTTCTTTTTACTGCTGGATTGATTTCTGGTTGTTTCATAATCATCTGAAATTCTACTTCAATTCGCTTTCTTAATTTTTTAATTAGTTCACTTTTTGGGTGAACTATGTCTAACATAGTTATTTCTTGATTTAACAAATAAATAATGATTTTTGTCAAATCTAATTCTTTAAATCTCCCTAAAAAATCTAACAATTTTTGTATAAATTCGATTCTTTCATTTTTACTCAAATCATTGTTTTTCAGAGTAATATAAAGTTCCATAAATTGTTGGGCTTTACGTGTTTCTGGGGTTTCAATGGAAATTGTTTTTCCATTTTTTCTTGTCATGGTAATTGGTTGAGAAATTTCATTTAGTTCTTTAAATTGTTTCTTCTCTGCTGCTCTCTTATTCAGTTGGTTCCTATGTTTGATTATTTCTCTTAAGCACTTCATTTTCTCTTTCAAATTGATTTTATTTTCAGTTTGTATAGATTTTGGGGATTTATTTATTTGGTGATTTTTTTTATTTTTATAATGGATGTTAATTTCAGAATATAGAGCTTCAAAATCTTTGGGTTTTATAGGATACTGCAAATTTATTAAGGCTTGTTTCTGCCTAGTACAGATTAAAGTTTTCATGGTTTTCTCCTCGTCTAATGTTAATTGTTTTAGATGATTATAGTATTGTAACATTCGCTCAAATTTTTTTCTGGTCATCCAACTTCGCACAAACTTTTGTATTACTCGAGCGTATTTACCAAAATTTTCCTCGAGAATAGTATTTTGGCGAGTTGCTATTGACAGACAAAAAAAAATAAAATGTGTACTTGTCAGATTAGTAAATTAATTTTAAGATGATTACTTAGTTCTTTTAGCACATTTAAACGTCGAAGAACATTTATGGTTTCAGTTTGAGTACCAAAATCAATAACTCTGTCAGTACTGGTATCTTGCTTTTCGGTTGTTTGAATTGCCAATGAAATTTTATTCCCAATGCTTTGATTATTAGTATTTTCAGGTACTGTTTGTATTGTTGCATTTTTGTAAAGAATGCCATTTTTCTTATTTCTATATCCTAAAGTTCTTCTAGGCATTATCAAATTGGTATCAAGTATATTTCCATATTCAGGATGAACCACGTGATGTGTTGTGTTATTTTGTATATTAGGCGTTTCTTTAATATCTTCATGGTTTTCAATACTAACTAATATATTTAACGGAAACTTGTTCCAATAATGTTTTAGTAATGTATGATTGCTTACTTCAAATAGTTGATGTGTATTGTACACAACACATTTTATTTGTTGTATATTTTTAATTTTAGGTTGTATTTCTGGTAAAATATAATGTTTTACGTCCAAAATTGTATCCCATAATGCGAAATTAGTCGATAAAATATTATTGCTTGGTAGTGTTATTTGAACACGAATACATTGTGGTTGATTTGGAGGAATACATAACTTTGAGTACTCCTCAGCTTTATCTGCATCATTGTCAATCGGTTTTAACGCGTACTCGTCCATAATATTTTGATTGTAAACTTCTTTGAAAATCGATATTTCATACCAATTCACATTTTTTTGTTTTTTAATTTAATATACAAATTTATTTATTACTATATTAACAAGCCAATATATATTTAAAATATTTATTTTATTTTAAAACTAACTAGTTCTAGTAATATCAAATATTTTTCTTTAATTAAGTAAACATTGTATGATTTGGTTATTTTTATCGAATTTTCACTTAATGTAATCTTTGAAATACTTTCAAATGAAAATATATTACTGGAGTTACGATTATTTAATTTTGACGACCGTAATAATACAATATTTTGAAACAAGAAAGTTAAAATAAAAACCTGTATTTGTGAACTTTAAATATTATTATTTTATACACAAATAATTCAAATTGTTTTTAATAGGTACACATGGAAAAGTTGAAAAAATTTTTGTTATTTGAATTGTCTCGACGTCGCGAGTATAATATCACTATCGATGTATTATTATCTAATCTCATAAATAAAGTATTATATGCTGATTTTTACACAACATTAATAAAATTTAAAAAAAATCGATTAGATACAAAATTAAATTATCTTGTATTCTTTACATTGTATAATTATCTCAAAATGTGTAATATAAATGGAACAATAATGAGTTAATCTATTATTATAATAACATTTTATGTACTTTTAATTTGCGATTCTTACAATAAAACAGTCAATCCAAAACAATTTATACTTATTGATTTTTTTTTTTTTTAGAAAATAAATTATTATTTATAATTTGTATACAGAGTATTTTGTCGTATCCATTAACCGTTGTTCTAATATACTTAAAAACCACAAAAATTCAATTTTCCAAAATAAATGAAATAATCGATATTTTATCATTTTTCTTAGAAAATAATAATTATGAAAATACATAAATGTTTCTTATTAAAAATTAAAAACCTATAACTTAAGTACATTTTTATTCGATAAGTTCAATAGTTTATTAATTATAATCCATAAACGAAAAATCAGCCCTATTTTGTAATTTTTTAATCCCCCTATGATATGTGAAGAGGGAGAGTAATCGTGACCAAATTTAATTCAGACTACTTTCTTATAATAATGAACAAAACGAGGTGGTGAAAAATCAAAAATATTAATTTTTTTTTTCACTTATAACTAAAGGCCACGCTAGTAAATATATTATTTAAAGTATATTGAATAATAGTAATATAATTTGACCATTTGATTGACCTTTGACTAGTGTCTTAATAGTTTAATAAATAATAATATATTTTAGTATACTAGCTAGAGTCAGTTATATTCTGTTTTTAGCACAAAATAGTAAAAAGTCATGATTTTCACGTTTATAGCGCACAGAAATTGATAAATATGTGCTAAATAGAAATACAGAGGTGGCCAAAAGTCACGCAACAAATTTGCATTTCGGAAGTGTTACGAACGATAACGAACATGTAACTGCGAACCATAGGTTATGTTGTTTTTTCATCAACCTTGCTGTTGTTGTACGTAAACAAGATAACGAGACCAAAGTTGCAATATTACGTAACGGAAACGACTTGGAGGGAGAAACATACAAGACGGTATGCGTTGCGCGACTTTTGGCCACCTCTGTACGCAATGAAATACGAGTAAAGTAAAACTGTTGTATTTTCTGCAGGTATAATAAGCAATTTTGATAATTATCAATAAACGTTGGGGGGACCATTTCATAACCGATTCGGCGTTACTGCAGGGTACCGCCAGTATCTGTTAATTATTATTATACATACGTTACGGGTACAAAGCCGCGAAATTGGTTACGCTCGAGAATCTGCAGTCGGCGCGGTTTACCCGAATGCCGCGCGAACCCCGCGCCTTTGGCCGTGGCGAGTAGCCTCCCCCCGGCTATAATATTATAGTCGCCGTATGGCTTGCTATACTATCTCGAGGCCGAAAATAAACGACGACGTGACACTTTGTAAAAACCAATAAACAACCAATTGTTGTCGTGCTGTATAACATTGTGAGTGGTACCTATATTTGTATGATAATTGTTCCGTATACGATTAACGAAAAGCTAACGTTCATCGTATTAGAATCCAGTAATGCGTCTAAATTCTGTTTTGTGGCAAAACGATTAAATTGTTATTAGCCAAACGACCGGCGCGTCGAGCCAGACGTATGTCTATAATTATAGATAAAAGCGCGGGACTAAATTGACAAAATTGTTGTGATCGGTTTTATCGGCGTGTTTTCGTGTCAGTTTCGGACTGGTACACCGCCGTTTGCCGTTTGTGCATCGCATATACCTTTCCGACAATTTCGTTCCCGCATAAAACCACCAACAAGAACATTATAATGTCCAAAATATACGCATCGCTCGATACAATATAATATAATATTATAACGTGTTTCTTACTCAAAGCGGGCCGTTGAGTACGCGCTTTGATCGCTGAGTTTGAGCTCATAAGGTCCAGAGGGAGCCGCTAAGTAATCAAAAGTAGCGGGAATAAGATGTGTATATCATGAAAGACACAATACAGTGCACCAGTCTCCATTTTTGATGAATATTCGACAAATACTTAAGAATAAATGAAAAATTTATTTTTTATGTAATGTATACGTATTATGCGTATATTCGACATAGTCGAATACGTGTTTTTTTTTTCATTTTTACAAATTCAGAAAACGATTTCTTGATCAATAAAAATGCTTAAACATAATAGTGTAATTATATTACAGTATCTCAGAGAAGAAACTGTACAGATACCGTTGACTCGTGGATTACGCAAATAAGAAAGCGTACATTCCTATATTAATAATTTTTTTTTTATTTCTAAGCTCCATATTCGACAGTTACGGCGACGACAATCGGATTTATGTTATTTTTTAAAATCCTAAATTATCGCATTGTATAAAATATGCGCACACAGAAATCATTATTATTATTATTATTATTTTTTTTTTTTGCTTAACGGTTGTAAGAGTTTGCTTTTGCTTTTTTTTCCCCCAAGTCCTATACCATTTTATTGTACAGCTATAAATAAAAATCACGAGGTCACTGATTAAATGTCGACCAATAGGTACGTCCTACTATTATATCTACCTACCATAAAGTGAAACGGGAAACCTGTAACTTGGGTTCGCACAAAATATACGACCATTAAAAATATACTGTATGTTATAGTATACGTGTGGCTTCATTAAAATAATTATGCCGGGCAACAACAGATATACGACGACCTCCGACGTTCGATATAGTCGGCGTCTAGCCATGATACACATCGGATTTACATAAAAGAAAAAAAAAAAACAATTCGCTTGTTTTTTCGCAGTGTATATGTTATGAAAAACAAACTGTGAGCTGCATCATCTGTTCCATCTGTTGCACATGGTACACGAGTATTATAATACATAATGCATTATGTATACATGGTGGTTAATCCTTAATACGACATTCATTATCTCAGAAAGTACTAACTTTTTCGACAATTAATGATAAAAGCAGCTCTAAAATGGCACACTACCGTCATTTTTAACCACCCTTATTTTTAGAGGTGTAACCACAACCAACTTTTGATTTTAAAATAGCATTCTGTTATATGTTAAATATTTCATGAATAGATAAAGTATTAGTTTTTAAAAACATTTTTTTTATGCCCATCAACCCGTTGACATGATATATTTTAAAGTTAGCCGTTTTGTTGTTAGGGGTAGAGTTGTGGAACATTATTCAAACGCCGAGCACCCTACCACCACGCAAATAATGCTCCACTACCCGTAAGCTTAATTTGATATATACGATGTGAATATTTTTCTGAGAGGAAATTTTCTTAGGGTGGTATTTAAAGGCGGTTGTTTTTAGTTTTCCCAGCAGTTTTACTAAAGAATACAGAAAAATTGAGACAAAACGGGAAAATGTACAAAATAAATTAGTAAAATATTATGATTTTTTTTTTTTTTTGTGGAAAACTTTTCTATCTGCAATTTTGCTCCGATTTATAATAATAGAAGCTTTTATAAAAGGAAATATAACTAGGGAGGTACTTAAAGAAGACATTTTCGGTTTTCTCAAAAAATGTTCTAGCAAATTTCAAAAACCGGGAAAACGAGAAAATCGGTACAATATTAAACAAATATTAAAATCCTATTTAATTATTTTATTACACTATGGCATATTTAGGCAAAATTTGGTTGGGGTGGTAATTTTTTTATTTTTCCAGGGGTTTTCATAAAAAATAGGAAAAATCGGGAAGAAATTTCTGAAAAACGGGAAAATTTACAAAATGCATTATTTTAAATATTATGGCCTTTTAAAACATGTATAACCGAACTCCGCTTTGTATGAATTTTCGTAAGCAAAGGTTAGTCGTTGTGTACAGATATACATTGAATTTCCCCTCTACTTTTACAACTTTACACCAACAACAGTGGCCCAACCTTTTTGGGAAGTATGGCCGTTTGTTTTTCAAATACGAATATATAAAATTATATCAATGTATACTTCTAATTTATTAATAAAACTTTAAATCATAATATGTTAGTATTAATTAGTTGCTTAAATTTTTAATTCCATTAGATGTACAATTTGATTAGTTTTTAAATGTTATTTTTTCTTTAATTTAAATATATATCATACAGAAAAATAGTGTGTAATATATTAGGTATTTATAGTACTTGTGAGTAAAACTTTAATAATACAAATATGAGGAGCTAATTATTATTTAATTTTAAATGTGAAATATTTATTTAAAACCAATCGACAGATTTTTTTTTTTAAATTTTTGAATTATATTCAACTGAATTCAACTATTATCTATTTCAAGAGTTCCGAAAATATATACCTACCTACAAAGCAAAACACGATTTTTTCAAAATTCAAAATTGGCAATATGCGCTATTATTTTTATTATGCGTTTAAACGCAGTTCGTACGTATACTTTATTTATCATATATATATTATTATGTTTGTCTTATTTTTAATTTCACAAGTTTGTTTTTTTTAATTTTCAGCTTTTACGTTTT